GTTTCCAGCTGCTCAACTGGAAAGCCAAACATGATGTGTAGCTTTTGGGTCCACAAGAGAGAGAGGATGACCCTGGTACTTCCACAAAGCCTGGAAATGTTGGGTGTTGGAGTGGATTCGGTGCCCAAAAAGAGGAGGCCATATGTGGTACTGCTTTGGAGTCCTGAGTCTCCCACAGCCCATCAAGTGAGCTGAAAGGATTCCTTGCAGGTTTTATTTCTGAAGTTCAGTGAAATCCTGTTCTTTCTTTGAGAACTATTCCTACTTTGACAAACGGACCAAAAATGCTGCACAAACAATTGCCAAGTTGGGTTTGTTTGAATGTTCTGGATTAAGTTTGAGAATGCTGCTTCCATATCTGATGCTTGATGAGGGACACAGGCTTCTATGCTACAGGTATTCAAATACAGACCCAGAGTGATTTCAGGCCGCTAGGAAATTCATGGGGATTTGGGGATGCTGACAAATAATGTATATTTAATAATCAGTTCTGAATGTTAAATGCCATATACATATCTCAGAGATTGTAGTTCTGTGTTGCTGTGAATGAAGGTCCACTCCTTTCAACCCAAACTCAGTAGAAAACCCTTGAGAAGATGATCAGATCTGTTTCTGTTTCAGAACGATGCTAAACTTTCCATGTTCCCATAAATGGGAATGGCCTAACATATTGTCTAATTTTTAACTCACTATAGTATGCAGCGATAAGTCCTTAAGTATGAATACGTGAAGCAGAATATTCTATCATAGTGAGTAACAGGAGACTAGACTGCTGTTGAAACCTTCTTAATAGCTGCACTTGTCACTGACTTTTGTACTGAGAGCCAAATCTTGCAGCACAGAAAGCCCTGCAGGTGTGGGAGCTGATACTCAGCAGCTTGCTGGAGGCAAGTGCCAAGCTACAGAATCAAACCCTTGTTTTTGGAGAGTGATCCTCTCACTGCAGCAATCGCTCAGCTGTATGTACGTAATGCAAAATATCCAGAAAGGGTCTGTCTTCTGTGAATGCGGTTAGCAATGTCATGTTGTAGCTGTGTATTATCATTAGGTAAAATGTAAAAAGCATCTCTCTTTTTCTGTTAACTTCCATTCGGCACTTTTACTGTCACCTTTTTTAGGTGTGCTGTGTTTAAGGTAAAAGAACTTAACATTTTAGTATCTGTCTGCTGTAAGAAAAATCTGATTTTTCTTCCATGTAATTTACAGCTTGGGTCTCCTGTTAGAAGAACTGCAGTGATGTGAAATAGCAGAATGTAACACTTAGTAATCAAATTGTTTTCTTATAACCATATAAGTGAAATTAAAGCAGTCTGGCACAAATAAAATAGCTGCTACAGCGAGACAGATTTGGCTGTTATAGAAATGTGGAAAATACAAGAAACTGAAGAGACTTGATGACAACAAAGGACATCATTAAATAGAAATAAGTCTCTACTAGATCTGAGACTCATTCTTTTGCTAAATGGCTGCAAAGATCAGAGCTTAACTTATAGTTGGATAGGTAACTATTGATTATGCAGTACAGATTCCCTACTGTGTCTTATAGAGGTTCAACAAAGGTGGGCATAAATTATGACAGCTTTAGGAAACTCCTCTTTTCTGAAATGATCCCAAAACACATCAGCCTCTCTTGCTGTACCCGAGTGTAAGCAGAGATGAGGCAGAAGCTCTGCTGTCTCTCAGTTTGCTATGGCTCCAATGAAAAGCTTCACAAAAATTAACACCAGTCCTGCAAAGGTTATATACTTCTTGTTTTCTTTCTAAGAAAAGGCAAAAATAATACCATCTGCATAGCTGCTGAATTATTTTAGCAATAGTACTAAAGTATGGCTTTACAAAGCACACATGATTTAAGCTTGTGGTAAGGAGCATTGCTGAATTACTGCCTTTAAGAGATTGTACCCTTTGGTTTCAGAAACTCCATCAGGTAGTTCCCTTGTTTCACTATCAGACAGCTCTAGAAAAGGGTGCTCATCATTCAAGGCCTGATCTTGTAATAAACTGGAGCATATTGCTTGTGGCATCACCTTGAATATGCTCTGGCTCTCTGTGTGGTACTGGACCACAATGAATCATCATAACTTGAACACAGTAGGTTTTCTACTGTCATCTCACTGGTTTTCAAAATGCCTTCTGCCAAAATAATTCTCTTTTTGAATGGCTTTCCATGGGGAAATGCACTGTTTCTAGAACCTTTTAGGGCTCCATAAGTCAAAAATGGCTGCAGCTCTGAAAACTATGCAATGTGTCTTCTCATGAGAAAGAAAATTTCATGTATTAGATATTTAGATGAAAGTGAACATTGGAAGCTCACTGGGTACCCTAATGAGCAAAAGGGACTGTCTGTGCAGAGCCTGGTTGATTGAGACTTCAGTAAGTCACCACCAGGGTCTGAACAGCAGCGTTAGCACGTAAGTGAACTGCTATAAATGCAGATATAAAGCACTAGTTACTTAAATACCTGCCATTATTGTGACTGTTTTCAATCATAACAGCTCTTTAGTGCCTGTGTCACATGTTACACATAGCATGCACATACTAAATTAAATGTATTTGGGTCAAACAAGTGCAGTTTTTGATACGTGCTTGTTCCATATTTATCTGCCTTCACCTATAGCAGTTTCCCACTCATGATTTTCCACTTCAAATCATAGTGGTGTAGTTGTTGAGCTAAAATGGTAGGATTGGACACAAGATAAGGAATTACTCTCTGTTCTAAAGTTGCATATGATTAAGAGCTCATTTCAGTATAGTGTCCTACCTGTGATGCCTTTCAGAGATGTCTGACAGAAAAAGAAAAAGCCAAAAGTAAGGATTTAGTTACAGATAAATTTTACTTTGAAAGAAATTAAAGAATCAAAATTATTATTAGCACTATACAGTGAGATGTAGCTAAGTTAGTTTGCTTTGAAGTTTTTAGCCAGTATATATGAAGCTGTGACTAAGTTCCACTGGTTTTCAAAACAAGAGTAAAAATGCATAAGGAATATATCTAAATAAATAAAAACATAATAATTAAATATTTTGATCTGCTGCCTTGGATTTAAGAGCAGTGACTTCCTTTGTCCATATCCTGCTGTTACTATAGAAGTATGTTTCCGAAAGACAAAAAAAGAAGCTGACCTTTTGGTGATTTTATTAACTTAGGGACCCATGCCAATTAGAAATATGGGCACAGAGGAAAAGCTCCCATTTATTTCATAGTGTGTTTGCTTTAAGCCTGAGGTCTAAGGTGGCAGAGCCTGAGCCAAAAAAGTATTGCTTGTGCTTTTGTTTTCTCAGAACACAGTTATAATACTCTGTTACCTGGGTCCTTTTAACCTTTAAGAACACTGTGAACAGATGATTTCACCAAAACCTAAACTACCTGTGGTGAGACCTGACTGAAAGTGTGCTCTCTGAAAAACAGGCTGTCAGCTGTCGCCAAAGCAAGATCCAAACCCCGTAGTCGGTCTCTGAAGTCTCTGCCCTTAGGTTATAGCTGTATAACACAGCTATGTAGCACAAGGTTTGCAAAACTGCAGCAATGCCTTTGAAGCCAAAAATTATCTGGAAATCTGTGTGTGAAAACACAAGTAAACATTTCATTGTTTGAGAGTCAGATACTCCTGGTGCTTACCCCAAATCACATTGTTGCTTTGAAACCAAGGAAAGAATTGCATTGATTTTTCTAGTTCTGATGGCGCTTGGCTTGCCCTTTGACATTCAGGATCATCTCTAAGGAGATGTTTCCTTTGTAAGTCACAAATCTAATCAGGCATTTCAGTTCACAATTAAGAACTTTTGCTGGTAGACAACTCTTTGGGGTATAAAGCTGCTGAGCTTTAGGCTCCTGTATGCCCGTTGGCTTATCTGCTAAAGAAGCAATTTGGTGTGGGTTTATAGTGATAAGGTTTATCTGCTGGAGAAGATTATGTATGTATTTACATTGCACTGATGACTGGCTTGCTTCACGTTAACCAGGAGCAGGTTTAAGGTGAACCAAAATAAGTTTTTCAATTGGAAAAAGATTATTTAAACTATAGTTCAAATTATTGCTGGAACTTTTGCATACAGACAAATCATTTCACTAATTAGAAGCCAGTTAAAAATGAGGACTGATGTTTAGTTTTACAGGATCAAACTTGCAAATTAGCATACCAGCTTCTCCTTGATTATAATGGGAGTTAGGATCATGACTCTGTTGAAAATCACACCACTGGACAGGTAGGGACTGAAACCTGGATTTCCCTGAATCTATCTCTGTTTGACTCCTGTGAACCTGAGTGGCTTTTGAAATCATGAAATCAGGAGAACTGGCTCCCGCAGCTATTAAGGCATACAGAAAAATTTACCTTTCAACCCATCTGAGATGAATTCAGCTGTCAGCACTGGGACACATCTTCATAAAATGGGTGGAATTACATGTATTTGGAATTTGTGTTCTTGAAACTTGCCCTTAATTTAAAATGAGAGGGGGCTTGTTTGCTTACTTCACTGTGTTGGGACTGGCTTTTCTAGGTATGGCTTTTTGATGTTAGTCGATCTTATTTCGTAGAGTATCTTTAGGAAAACTTTAATATTGTGCTTTATTCCCCACTGTTTCCTTTGGGCACAAGCAGCACAGTAGCATTTGAGCTCCTCCTTCTTTTCCCTTGAAGATTTATGTGTAGCAGAGATGATCTTTCAGATTGCAAAATACGTGACATTTGCACAATGCCATGGCTCATTTTTGTGGCCGGCAGAAAACTGCCCCATAGATGCTGTTGTAACGGGGATTTTTTTCTCAGAGTATCTGGTCAAAAGTCCCATTAATTGGTAGGAATTACAACAAACAGAAGTAATGTGGCTGGGAAAGTAAACTCAAAAGTACCAGCCTTTTCATACCTGTATCAGTTGTAGTGCAGCATTCTGGCCAGGAGATGACTTTTCTGTAATCCCCATTGGATCTGCAGAAAGATAATCATAGTTTTTAATGCTTCCATAATATGTAACTAATACATTTTACTTCCTTACCAAAGATTCCAGATAGCCATTGTGCCTACATACTCCATGATGGGACCTTTCAGAGGACACATGAGTCTCAAAAGTAGCCGTAAGTATCCAAATTATTACTGTGTTTTCCAGTTTTGGAATAAGTGCTTGAATATGGTAAGATTATTAAAATATATATATATTTTATGATTTTAACAATATAGATAAGTGCTTCTAATATCTGCTATTACAAAAATCACCTTCTTAATTCATGCAATCAGCTTTCCTTATCAGGATCTTTACAAAGCACCTATAAAAAGAATACTAAAAAGCTGTTTTGCCTGAAGCTTCCCTCCTTGGAAATGCTGTTCCACTCTACCTTCTCCCAATCCATATAGTTTCAGCCCTTAATTAAATGCTGGCAAAGACAGCACCATCACTCTCCATTTTTGTCCGGTTTGTCCTTTGTCCTTCCCTTGACAAAGCCCAGCTGCAGTCGGAGACATTTTACTCTCTGCACACAGGGAGTGCTGCATTTAAGGGCCCACAGGGTGTTATTCTACTGCCATCTTTCTCTTCCCACCTTTCCAAAGGAACCCCAAAGGACTGAGAGGAGGACACCTATTGTGTCCCTACCTCAGCAATCTGTCATGCTGGCTTCCTGTATAAAGGAATATACATGTATTTTCTGCAGGGAACAGAAGCAGAGATACCACTGTTAAATGCTCAGAGCAGAAGCCAAAGCTCAATGCCTACTAGTGCGTCCTGTAGCTGAAAATAGGCTGAAATATTTACCCAGAAGGGGAGCAGCTTGAGGTAACTATGCAATTGAACCAAAGAAGGAGGATCTGCCCAATGTTTTTCAGACATTGACTGGGCCATTTTGCTGAGAGATTGTCTCATTGCTTGTTATATTCATCTGCATTGAAGCAAGCCCTGTGGCCATAGCCATGGGCAAATATTCTACCTTGTTAAGCAGGAGACAAACACAGAGAAAAGAGGTGGTCCCTCTCTTCTTCAAATTTGGGCTCTAAATACAAGATGAGGAAGTACACAGATAGAGGTGAAGGACCATAACTGTGAACCTCTGCTTATGGTATGAGATAGCTCTTTCCTTGCAATGCTAGACAGATACTTCTGTCTGTTTACAAAAGGCAAAGCCAAGGATGCTGTAGAGATGGTTCCCACTTCCCGGTAATGTGGTAGATAAGAACTCAGTATTTCCAAGCTTTTGAGGCTTAAGTATCACTGAAGAGTTTTTATTTGTTGATTAAATGTGCATGTAGTATTGTCCCCCCATTGTGAAATTTCCACTTGTAGGAATTAGCAGTTAGCAATGGTATAAGCTATTTGTGTTATCTCAGCTCTGCAGTTATGCTAGTCTTTTAAAAGCTAAAATACTCTACATGTTCTTGAGAACAAGCTTTTGGTCCTCTAAGAGCCAAAAAGTAGTGGCTTTGGATGAGCAACCTGGTGAGGAGCAAAGTCACTTCTTGTGGTTTTCAAAAGCATATTGTTGTTTTCCAGCTCCATGGAAAAGACCTGTTTTATCACTGTCATTGTGTATTAGTCAAACTTTAATACTGCTATGACTGGATTTATGATATGACATGATATATTCTCCAAACATGATTTGCAGAAGTAATCTCTTGCAATTCAATCAGTGGAAAGGAGGTAAATTAGTCATTGTACAGCTACACAGTCAGGACTATAATAAATTACTAGGAAAGTTATTACAAAATAGGAAATAAAAAGAGTCAGAGTTGAGAGAACTGTTGCTGTTCTTTCTTCCTCATTCTTGGTTCTGTGTTTCCTGAAGATCTTTGCTCATATATAGAATCACACAAAGGTTTGGCTTGGAAAGAACCTTAAGATCATCCAGTTCCAACCCCCTGCCATGGGCAGGGATGCCTCACACTAGACCATGTCACCCAAAGCTCTGTCAAGCCAGGCCTTGAACACTGCTAGGGATGGAGCAAAGATATGAATGTCTTGAACGTACAATGTTACTCAAAGGTTAGAAAGACTTTCAAAAGCACAAAAAAGGGCTGGTTCAATCTGACCTGACATATGTTTGCTGCATCAAGGGAGCCTCATAACAGGACTACCAAGAATTCTTGGAAGATTTCTTCTATTTAGCTTTTCCCTCAATTTGAAGTTCTTCAAAAATGCAAAGGAAAACAAAAGAATAAATCTGTTAAAAAGTGTTAACTCTCCAGAGAGGTCAAATAAGAGCACCCTTTCTAGGGATGGGGGAAGCCCACCCCTAAATCTCACCACTTTATTGTTTTTACCCTTAAAACATCTTCTTGGAAAATGATGTGTTTTTTCATGTCCTCTTGGCAGAAAAACAAAAAGACACAGAAAGACCAAATGAGTTGCCAAAGTTCATCAGAAAGTCTTTGGCGAAGAAAATAATCTGTGGGGTTTTTTTCCTTACATAGGAATAACCACAATGTGGTTTATTGCACAATGGTAGTGATTTTCTGGACACAGGATAGAGTTAGATTTTAAGATCAAAAATTAGATTAAGCTACTAGTGCCTTGTATATCTCCAGCATTTCAAGTTTGGGCTGGTAATTCATTTGGAGAAGAATGTTCTTTTTATAAATGGATTTTCCATCCCTTTTTAATCCTCGGATACTGTTTGGATTATCACATTGTTCTTCTGTCATGCTGTCTTCTTCGCTGCATATATTGAAATCAGGCTGACAGTGCCAATCGGGGAAAGATTTGGGGCATCTCCCAAAATACTGTTTTTTTTTGCCATAGTGACAAGAGCCTCTAGCTGCTGTGATGGGCATTGGAGTTGTTGAATTCACTAGAGTTTCCCACCTCCCATCAGCTAGGGATGGTGCTGGATGTTACTGGAAAGCTTGTTCCAGTTGTTTTTGCTAGCAGCAGGTTGCAGCACAGCTGGCAAAATTAATGAAAAAATTAAGTTTTCAAAGTTCTGGAAGTGAGTGAGTAACTACTGATCTCAAGCACATAAAAGCTTTGAAACAGAATAGCACTGATTGTAACTATTTGATTTCTTTAGTATGGTATTGACACCTATTGAGTGGTTTCCCTGATTGAAATTGGAGACATGATGAAAGCTCGTGATTAGAGATGTCATGAGCTTTATGTTTGTCTGCTTCAAGTACTGGATTCCATAGTTGTACCTATACTATTCATGCTAAATTTCATTGAGACAAGAAATAAATGGAATTTGGTCATAATCTGGCACTGAGTTCTCCATTGATTTATAGCAAACACAGGCTCACTACTTCTGTTTGTACCTGTTTGTGTCATCGTATAAGCACTCTGGCTGTGTTTATGTGTTCAATGAAAACCAGAATGGATGGAGCTAAAGTAACACCACCTTTGTGCAGCTGGTCATGCTGGGATGTGATGCTGCTCCTGGACAGGCTGCTGAAAGCAGGTCTTCATGCTGGTGCCCTTTGGGCAGGCTTTTAGTCACTACCAGGAGCACGTTAGTAAATAATACTAAATGAAGCAACAAATACGGCAATAGGTGTTCTGCCCTACTCTTATTTATGGTGCTTGTTCAAAAGGTGAGACTATAAATTGAATGTAGTCAAATTCTTTAGCTGTGAAAATACAGTTTATAGCATTGTCTCACTTGCTAGGCAAGAGATTTAGACTAGAAAAAGCAGCACAGCAAGAAAGAAGCCAAAGAGAGGTTAGAAGGATTGACTCCCACACTCTAAACCTAATTTCTCCTTTCAAAATACAATGTAAACTTTGAAACTAAGACATTAACTGAAATTGTACATTGGGGACATGAACGATGAAACAATCATTTACTTCATTGTGTCAGAAAGCCAGATCTTAATAGGGTGGGTGGATGGGCTGATTATCTCAGTGTAAGGGCTATTTCTGTATCTGTGGACGGAAGGCCAAAGGCACATTAAATTTCTGATCGCCAGTATGCTGTTTAGGTTTTAAGATTATTTGCTAGCAACTTTCCATCTGCAAATCCTGCCTGATGATTACGGAGGGATTTCAGAAATCATATTTATGTTCAAAAACAGGTTGAAAGACAGTGATCTATCTTGGCCACTGCCAGGTTAAAGTATGAAATGAGTAAATGCTTATCTGCTTCTTGGCTTTTTTTCCTGGGATAATGAACTGATGTCAGATACAGAGACAAGTTCTTCCTAATCTGAGAAGTCTTGTGGGTTAGAGATTCAGAGGGGTGTCGTGGTCAGTCTGCGTGTAACACGCTTTTGCTCCGTGTTCTGGCTCCTTTTCAGCCCTACTTCTACCTTTGTGTGTATCCAGTCCATTTCCTTCACTACAGAGTGCTAGAGTTAGGCCTGCTATTACCAAGATATTAATATGCAGCTTTTTACACCACTTGGTCCTACTCTCTAGTATTAAATCTTTCAAAATGTAAATGCCTTTTATTATATCAGATATTAAGCAGTGAGATCCTCTATTACTCTCCAGAGTTCTATAATATCCAAGGCTCATACATTACTTACTGGAAGCTATAATTCTCAGGTGTCCAAAACCATACAAAAAGAGACTAATTTACCACCTTTCCATGTTACATTTTGTGTTACCCTTACTTTTTGAGATAAATAAATGAATATTGACTTGGTTTTATTTTAGGCAAGAAGAGATAAATATTCAAATGTTTTTAGAGCCTTTATTGCACGAGGCATTACTTGCCCGGTTGAATGAACTGAGAGATTTCCTTCTTGCAGCTTTTTCTCTGGGGCTTTCCTGCAAGCTCTCCAACCAGTACATCATTCAAGATCACATGGCTGCTCATTACAAGAAGCTGATGTCAGCCAAAGGTATGTACAGTCTATAATGACGACAACATCTACATAGCTGAAAGATGAAGTCATAGCCAAGGGTGTGTTGGTTGCCCTTAGTTTTGGCTGGCTGTTGAATTTCCCCCTTTCTTTCCTCCCTCTCCTGTCACTAACTTAAAGGGTGTAGGAGGGTTTAAAACATGGTGTGCCCTAAAAGAAGAGATATGTAGGACATTATGTAGGGGACAAGGATTGAGACTGTAACCTTGTCCTAACTGTTAAGAAGCATGAAGTATACAGAGTCAAACTGTTTCACAAAAGGACACATTCATGTTAGCAAAGGAAATATTTAATTCTCCTACGTTATTTTAATAAGGGTTTCTGTTTAGATGTATATGGTAGCTGACTAAAAGGAAAGGTAAAATGAGAACTAGGGCAGGTATTTGTTTAATTGGGAGAAACCAGTGAAGAGTAATAGTGAGGTTGTAGCTTTTGACATTTAGAAGGTTACAGTTTCATTCCTAAATAATCTAGAAGGAATTTCCATTAGCAAGCACTTATGTCTGAGGGAGCTCTTCAAATGCTCTTCTTCCTGTAAATAACTGCAGACTGCTAGAAAGAGGATTTGGAATAAAAAAATGTCCTACATCAGTTGTCTGGAGCTGTGTAAACTTCCTGGTGCTTCAGGGGCAAACGAAAACAACTGGAGTTGCATGGTCATAGCCATAGTTAGGTTCTTGCAAGACATCCAGTCCTTGGGCTCCCAAGGCTTTCTAACCAAACAATACACTGATACCATGCAGTGAGCTCTGTAACAACCATAGCTGTTGAACAGCAGATGAGATTGCTACTGCATTTTTTGCCAGGAGACCAATCTCTTTGTCAGTTTGCAGTGCCAAGTGCTTTAATTTAAGCTACCTAGCTCAATCTAGCACATCTTTTTTATCATGGTATCAGAACCACTGTTTCACTTTCATGACCTGCGCCGTGCTATGGTTCATGACCTTTCCACTCATATTGGGAGCTGGAGGCTGAACTGCTGCTGTTATACTTTCATACTGAAGTGACTCTTGCTTTTGCGTGGCTAATGCCACTGAAACAGTGAACTCTAAGGACTGTAGAATTCATGGCCTACTGCAGGGCTCATACACATACAGAAGCATCAGGACTAAGAGCTGCAGAGGCTGCTATATGTAATTCAAGTTAATTTTATTCTCAACTGGTGAATCCTAAATGTGAGAGTGAAGATCAGAAAATACAAGGAAGAAACCAAAGACGTTTTGCAGTTTTTGTCTGTTACATTCTTAAAGCTCAGAAGAAAATGCAAAGGAGATATTCTTGGCATAAAAGGAGCCCAGTGCTTTGCTCCTAAGCAGCTTTCAATTCTCTGCATTTCAAATGTCAGTCCTGCTTGTCTGTAGCGGAATTCAGTCAAGCTGGGAAGAGTTTCTCACAGCAGGTGCTAACCTAAATTTCCAGTGGCTAAAACATCTAATTCTTAGGTGTTTCGCCATGTGAAGTTATAGTTCTCAAAAGTCAGATTTGTAGCATACTAGACCAAAAACCTTTAGTCTTAAAACACTTATTTTACTTCTTAGAGTGCTTCATCATTCCTACAGGTGGTTCTCATAGAGCTAAATGTTTACATGCATTGAAATAAATGAAGTATTGCAAGGATATCATAGAATCACAGAATCATAGAATAGTTGGGGTTGGAAAGGACTGTAAAATCATCTAATTCCAAACCCCTGCCATGAGCAGTGACACCTCACACTACACCAGGTCGTCCAAGGCTCTGTCCAGCCTGGCCTTGAACACTGCCAGGGATGGAGCATTCACCACTTCTTTGGGCACCCTGTGCCAGTGCCTCAGCACCCTCACAGTAAAGAACTTCTTCCTTATATCTAACCTGAATTTCCCCCGTTTAAGTTTAAACCCATCACCCCTTGTCCTGTTGCTACAGTCCCTGATGAAGAGTCCCACTCTGGCATCCCTGTATGTTCAGTACATCCTTAGAGATGATAGGATTCCATGCCTCTGAAAAATCTGCTCAGGGTTGTCTAAAGGCTTTCTCCAGTGTCCTCTTAAATGTTCTTCAATCCTTTCGAAATACAGCTGCCTTTCAAAGTACAGCCTGTTTGGCCTCACCCTAGACAGTAGCTAGCCCTGCATGTCTGAAACTTTGTTTAGAGTGCTTGTACAAACTCAAATTTGCTGTGACATTTGGCAGTAATCATAGAAGCATCTTGGATGGAAGAAGAGTCAGTGCCCTTCAAATGAAACTCGAATATTGAGCTTCTCTAAGTGATTGCTTTTCCCTCCACGATGAAAAATAGTATTTACTCATATACCTCAGTTGTATCCAGATACATACAGTATCAGACATACAGCTCCATTAACCTCCATATTACCTCCTGGATGGGCACATGACTTAATGAAGACTGCAGCAGCAGAGGGACAGGGCTTGATTCCTTGGAGCTTATTTGCTTTAACCTTTCATAATGAAAACCAAATGACCAAATAACATGTTGTGTAATTGTATAATTAGATCACTCATATTGCTAATGAACTGATGACATGAAACTTAGGGACAACTTGAATCTTGCTCTTAAAGCATCACTTGGCTGTTTCCCCTGGCTGGTCGCAGCTGTACTACTCATCCCTGAAATATAAACTTTCTGGGAAGTAATAGATGCCAGTACTAAACTAGTACAGCTTTCCTTAAATTGAAAACTAAAATGAAGGTTAATAGATGTGGCTGTACTGGCTCTTACTTTTATACCTTAATTCTGGGCACGAGCCACAAAATTCAGATCCCACTTTTATACTGAACCAACAGGAGCACTGCTGAGGCACTTACTCTATGCAGGTAAAGACAAGAGCTCAAATCCTCATTTGGTCTAATTGCAGTTGATATAATTGTGGTTGGTGTAACTCAACTAACTTCACTACATTTAAGCTGTGCTACCTTTTGAGAGATGACCATTGGCAAAGATAGCTGCAGGAAATAGGAAGAAAATAGGGAAACAATAGGACTTAGTAGTTTGTAGATCTACATTATTAATAATGCTTATATTATGCAGACTGGTGCCACATTCCCACACGGAATTACCACCAGCACCCTAGGATGATCAGTTTCATCTCTATCCATTTTGATATGATTATTTGTAATGTTAGTGTTTCATTGGACTGAACCTTCTTTTGTTAATACAGCTGCTGTTGATTCATCTGCACCAAAGAGTCTGCATACCAGTGTTAAATGTGAGTAGTTTTGTTTCATTTTGGTTTGAAAATAGCTCTGTCTCCATTTGTTTGGTTTGGAAATACTCTTCTTTTAGGATGAAAGGTGTTCTGAAGAGGCATCTACATGCTGAAAACATGCATCATTGTGGTTAACACAATATTATCTAGCATCTACTAATAGCTGTATCAAGCACTTGGTTTGTGTTTACACAGATTTGCAGACTGTGGGACTCTGGTACACTCTCTTCAAGCAATATGATTGTTGGAGGCATAAATTGCTTTAGTTTTCCAGTCTAAACTCAGACTTCTGGCCCTTTGCATTCCTTGCTAATCCACACTGCGTTTTTCATTTCCTTCAATGCTTCGTGTGTCTCTGGGCATCAAGCATGCTACAGATAAGACAGGTTTTGAGGAATGGGTGGCGTTTTGGTAAGAGAACATTGCACTGCACCCCAACGCCACCTCTTGGCTGAAGCCTGCAGTACCCAACGTGTAGGAACAGTCTCTCCTGCCCTTCCTTTTTGGAAAGGAAGAAAGATTGATGAAAAGGAATACATTCATCCCTTACCCTGGAAAGAGAGCATTCACTTTGCAATGTGTTTAGTTTTCTTCTTTCACCAGGTTGTGTGGCACATGCTACTTCTCCGTTTGATAGTTACGTACAAGGCAGCATCTACCTTTTCTACACAGGAACACCCTATCTTAAAATGAAATCCCAAAGGCTGGAAAAATGAAAGCTTCTATTTTTCCACAGTGCATGCATGATGGGAGCCATGTATCAGAGGTCTGCAGTGGGCTATTGCTTTGAGCAGGTTATTATATACTCAGAAGCAAAGATAGCTCAAAGGCAATGGTGAGATGCAGTCAGTTGAGCAAGATACAGGACAAGGAGGCAAATATAACTCTTTCCCATAAAGATTTAGAAAAATCTCTCATATGAGATCTTCATGAACATGAACATGAGCATGAACATGAGCCGGCTTCAGTGTGCACTCGCAGCCCAGAAACCAACCGTATCCTGGGCTGCATCAAAAGGAGCGTGACCAGCAGGATGAAGATGATCCTGTCCCTCTACTCTGCTCTCGTGAGACCTCACTTGGAGCATTGTGTGCAGTTCTGGGGTCCTCAGCATAAGAAGGACATGGAACTGTTGGAACAAGTCCAGAGGAGGCCACGAGGATGATCAGGGGCTGGAGCACCTCCTGTATGAAGATAGGCTGAGAAAGTTGGGGCTGTTCAGCCTGGAGAAGAGAAGCTGTGTGGAGACCTCAGAGCAGCTTCCAGTGTCTGAAGTGGGCTACAAGGATGCTGGAGAGGGACTCTTCATCAGGGACTGTAGTGACAGGACAAGGGTTGATGGGTTTAAACTGAAACAGGGGAAGTTCAGGTTAGATCTAAGGCATTACTTTGGGGGTGGTGAGGGAGTGGAACAGGCTGCCCAGAGAAGTGGTAAATGCTCCATCCCTGGCAGTGCTCAAGGTCAGTTTAGTCGAGCCTTGGGCGACATGGTCTAGTGTGAGATGTCCCTGCCCATGTCAGGGGGTTGGAATTGGATGATCTTAAGGTCCTTTCCAACCCAAACCATTCTGTGATTCTATGATTCAGTAGAGAAGAGCAAAAGAACAAGTTCAGAATCATAACACATCACAATCAAAATTCCCTTCATTTTTTAACTCCTTATCCTCAATACTGTGTTCAGAGTTGTCTTTTATATAATCATCTTAAAATTCATAATTTTGATTGATCACTTTATGAAAACAGCATTGTAGTAACAGAAAGAATTGCCAGGGGCAGCTTTCTGAGGATGCTAGTTTGGCAGAGAGATGAACCTGACACAGAAGTGCATGAGGAGTAGAATCTCACCTGCTTGAGATAAGGTGGACATAGAATTGGTTCAGCTACCTGCATTAGCTACCGTAACAAGTTTACCTGGATGATGTATCAGAAGGAAACATCTTTATTCTTACAATGCTTTCTTAGGAAGGTATTGCTCTTACACAGCTGTGCAGGACTGTATTGTTGTGTGGAGCTTTTGTTAATTTAAAAGCCCACGTTGAGTACAAAACATCTGGTGCACACAGAGACCATAACATGAGATTCTCCACCAGAGGAAGTGAGGACCCAAACCCATTTTTGTCAGTAGCCTGCTGGGGAAATGCAGATTACCTTTGTCATTTAATATTTATCTTCACTAAAAGATACTCTGTAACAGCTAAATCCTTTTTCTGACAGGTTAGTTCCAGAAATCTCTGTCTTGGCATAAGACATTTTGTCCCTTGAAGGAGAAAGCTCAAAATGTAGAAGTCACAATGAAAAGGTGTATCGGAACTTATGTCTTCTGAAAGATTAAGTAGGGCAGTAGCACAATGAAGGTACAGTTGCTGCTAATGGGGTTGATGTGCAAATAGTTTGAGGACTATAAAATGAATTTATTTCTACAAAAATAGGCTTCTGTTTATCGTTTGCATATTCAAAGACACAACATAAATGAAGGCTGGTTTGCCAGCCTACTAGAATAATAGGAGGGCAAAACTAATTTTCTGCTTAGTACAAGATTACAGTGTTTTCTTCTTTTAATGTTTCACAACAATCTCCCACTGTTGCTATTACTGGTTACTAAGTGTGGTATGCTTTTAAAACCTGGACATTTATCAGAACTCTGACAGATACCCATTCTGACACAGCAGAATTTCTTACCTGCCCTCAGTCCATGTGCTCAGGTAGGTGTAACTTTGTTTTCCAGATGTGTGGTTGGATACCGTGTGTTTCAATGGTAGGCTGGAAGTAGAAATTCAGGTAGTGACGCAGACATATGCAAACCTATTAAAACAAAGAGAAAAAGATCAGTTCTGATAAGACAGAAGAAAATACAGCGTGCAATGCTATGTTTAAGAATAAATGCACCACAGGTAACATAGTGTATGTAATTGGCTTTTCTGACAATCTCAAAATGCATCATTTCCCAAGCTGTCTGTACTGTTATACTTCAGATTAAGAACTCTATAGACAAAGTGGGAGATGTGCAGTGTACAGGACTTTCTCCTGAATATCTTCAGGAATATCTTGGATTTTCAATTCTAGGGTTTAGAAGGGCACTGTTTTAAATTTGCTGCTTCATTGGGCATTTTGCTGGTTTAGAGGTCATGAAGTTACTAATGTTGCAGTTGGTAAGAGTGTCATTGAATGAGATGGGTTTGTTTCATCTAGTGACCTTTAAAAATGGTTTATAAAGCATTGCAAATGCCAGCTTTCATCATGTTTTAATAGCATAGTATAGCATACAATACAACTGTTTCAGTTGGAAGGGACCTACAGTGATTATCTAGTCCCACTGCCTGACCAATTCAGGGCTGACCAGAAGTTAAAGCATGTTATTAAGGGCATTGCCCAAATGCCTCTTAAACATTGACAGCTTTGAAGCATCAACTGCCTCTCTAGGAAGCCTGTTTCAGTGTTTGACCACCCTCCCAGTAAAGAAATGCTTCCTAATATCCAGTGAAAATCTCCCTGATGCAGTTTTGAACCATTCCCGTGCACCTTATCACTGGATACCAAAGGGAAATACTAATTGTGTCTCTCTCCTGTCAGAGCAACATTAAAAAATTGCACAAACTTTGATCAAAGTTAGGTAGAAACAGCTAACACAAAGCCTCCTGAGCAGTCCTTTCTCTCTGACATGGAGCTGCCTTTGTGCTAGCAATAAGACTGCATCTCTGGCGTTCTCATGCTAACAGTCGTGGTCCATTTTTCAGCTGTCATCAAAAGATAGAAACATGTATCTGTGCCCAGCCTTAAGACTAGATATATTAGCTGGAGATGCATCAGAGATTGGGAATATGGGAGACCTAGTTCAGCATCATAAGCGGTCTGTGAAAATAAAGTTAAGCAGAGGTGTTTTAGGAGTCATGAGAGCATCGTGACTGATGGAACTACTGTGAGAACAGTGATTCCTTGGCCACCTCAGTGTGGAAAATGTCTGACTAGGAGGATGTTTACAGTTTTTACTAGGAGCAGAAGCCACATTTGCTAGAAAGAGCATCTAATGAGTATGGAAAGAGCGTAAGCAGTGCTGCTGCTGAGCACACACCAGTGACCAGGTTTCAGAAGAGTGTCTTAGCAATCAAAAAGAAGAATTTCTGTTCCAATGGAAATGTGAAAGTTCTGGGGAAAAAAAAAATCCATTATGAGGAATTGTTTTGATTCAAAGGAGAAAATTCAAAATCATTTTGTTTTAAATCAGATACCTTATTTATTTATACAGCATTAAGTCAGAGACTTAAACTTACCTGTGGCACTAAAGAAGTCCTCCAAATGTCTCAGTTATTAGGAATTACTAATTACCAATTAATTAGTAATAAAGAGCTGTATTACATTCTTGGACCTTGGAAGCATGAGACAGTGTTTCCATGACCAGCTCTAGAAGTCTCTTCCAACCATTATTTCCATGATACTATAATGCTCTGCTCCAGATTCACAGAGCCCAAGTTTGAGTCAGATCTCCTGAGGCTGATCAGCTTAGTAAGAGGAGTAGAAACTGGCTGATGTGCATATAAGCTGTCCCAGATGAGCTGGCGAGAAAGTAGGAAAAACTTAACACTCACAAAAGATTAATCAAAACCAGCCCCAAACAGGGGAATCCATAAAGGTAACCCACACTTCATACAGGAGAATACACTAATTATGAAAATCCCTTGCTAAAGCTCAGGTCTTTGGCTCCGTCACAGGCTCAGCCCACCACTCCAGGGAAGCGTGGTGGTCCAGGGCTCCCTGCCCTAATTTTCTCCTTACTCTCCCATTCCAGGAATGAGAGCGGCTTCGCCAAGGGCTGCTCTCATGTACTGTTTGTCTCCTAGTCCTGCAGTAAGCACTCTGCTTCCGTTATCCATTGAGTAGCAGTCCAGAAAAATAAGCACACCAGCATGGGGAAGCTGTGGTAGGAAGCAGTCAGGTGCTTTGGGCTCACTCTACCCAAGTTAATCTGAAGGAAGACCTAAAGTAAATCTGGCTCTCTGGGCACA